TCTGCTACCGTGACTGTACAATAAACGATGCCAGGCGTGGCAAAGGAAATAATATTACAAACAAGATATATATATTGTAACCTTGACTATTTTACATATACTGTGTAGCCTTTTTTATTTTGTATCATGTAGCGGTGACCTCATATAAATATATATTTACAGTCAGGTAAAATAGGTATTTTTATATAGCCGGATTTGTGTTCAGTTATTCAATGGAAGTAATACTGTCAATCAATAATGACAGTTGGTCGGATAAAGCAATGTATCATGATTGCAATAAACTTGAAATATTCTGATTTTCCCGAAATATTGTTTTATTGTGAAGTATATATGTTATTACATGTACACGTTCAGTGGTTCAGCGCCCCCTCACCCAAAGCTCCAATCCTAATCCTGCCCCTCCAGTGTCACTCTCCCATTTCAATTGTATATACCCCTTTTCGAGTCACTTATAGTTATTTGGAGGAGCATCTCGAATTACATTGGAGGGACTGGAGCGTTAAGGTTACGGTTAGGGCTGAGGGGACCACCCTAAATAAACTCTCTGCAGTTCAACAACTTTCCGCTTTGACCTTTAACCTCCCATGACTGAGTGGATCTGCCCCCAACGTTATAAACTTCTGTCAGTTTCAAGTGAAATCCCGACAGTAACTTTCAACATGGCGCTCCCACCTGTGCAGTGCGTACGAGTGTCCTGTCGAGAATTCCTGGCAATCATATGGAAGTTCAATTCCACGTTAATACTGGTGACAACCCCTCTATTGCTGGCACCGCTGCCTATACTGGTAAACGATACGGTAAGTTCGATCGCAGAGGTAGAACATCGACCTTGTCACCGAGTGTCGGTTGTAGTGATCGTCGAATCACTGAACAAGATGTATAAATAACTGTCAACCCCATCGTTCTAGTCGCCTGGCGAATGAAGGGCGCTTATTAGGACTGTCCGATTGCATTGGGTAAAATGTTTTCAAATTAAACCGGAACTGTATTTATAGTTCATGTCTTAGGTTACAGTCACAGCCATATTATAACACATTGACTATATATGTCGGACACCAATGCACCATTATGGCTTGAACCGTATGTCCATTGCGACCCATATACATATACTGGTGAATTAATTGTAAACAAATCCACAACAAATAAATTACCTTGCAAGTGAAGTCTCCACAGTACTGCCATTGAGATGTGGAAGGCATTGTTTCTTTTGTTACTCTCTTGACCCTGAGTAAGTCACCGGCTAAGGCATTAGACAAATGTCGCTGTCAGCATGATGGACCTGAATGGAAAGATTGACGATCGGCACTGGCGAACAATCAGAGTGCTATTCGGAAAGTATTCAAGGAGATTAATATTATACTTGTGGCTAATTATTAAAAATCATTTTTTTTCTTGGACTAAATGTTTCCACTCAGTAATTTCATGATTCACCTGTCGATTCTTATTTTATTATTGAACCCATGTAGTGATACGGTCATTTAAACACCACGTAGTCCGAATCGGAAGGTCGAAGAAATTAACGACAGCTTTATTTATTGATATATGGGTTTTGTTCCCTGGTATGTACACGGTTGACGAAATTCTGAACTATTTACCTTTTTCTTTCACCGTCGTTGACGTGCATAAACTAGCACTACAACACGCATGCACTGTTCATTATAAATTTCATATCCATAGAGAAAGGTATGCCTACCAGTACAATGTTTTCTTCTAATATCGTTGTGTATATAAATATATATTCTGTAAATTAAATTGCTCGTTTTCACTGGTACTGAACATTTTTTTGTTCGGGTTTGAAAGAGTTATTTTAGTAGATGATTGTCAAAACTAAAATACGACTGTGTGCCAATTGAGTGACGTCATCGCTGCATTTGAACATGTTTATTAAGTTAAAGGAGTGTGGTCGTTGCGCCGCGCATGTGTGTTGATAATTTTGATTTTTCCATAATCCAATGCGCGTTTCTAATGAATTTACGAGTACTAGTTTTGCCTTGGGTGCCACTTGCACCAATTACCGCCGACGACTTCTTCGATGCCTTCAAAACACTCCAAAAATACCTAATTAAAGCACAGTAACCTCTCAGTTTGTACTAGTTGGTGTGCGCAACAGTCAAAATCGCCATCTTTGTTTATATGAGACGCATATCTTGCGCATGCGCGGCGTGACGACAACCGCCCTTTTAGGTATAACGCTACTCGTTACATGTTCACTTAGTTTAGCGCACATAGCTGGGACAGTACTTTGTGTCGAATTTCATCTTCAATTAATCGTTTTAGTGTTAGTCAACAATTGTATGTTTACTATCGATTCATTTTTAAGTAAAATAATATACATAAAATGCCATCTCAACAGCGGTTTCCATAGACCAGAATGAAAACAAATTTAAATTGTTGTTTAGATACTTCTAGACATCAAATAGTACCTTTTAAAACACTATATATCCATTTTCAAATATACCATTGCTCTATATGAACAACAGTAAAATCTACTAAAATGTATTATATTATTAATTAATTTTCATATTTTCAATTCATGATCTTTATTCTTATAATATCAAATGAAAAAAAAAGAAATTGGCAAATTTTTACTTTTGGTAAATGGTTAAATGTCACATGCCACTCACTCAAATAACAGTCTAACCATTCGGTTAGACCTTGCAAAAACAACCGTCATTGGCTACTCCCCCGAACCACGCGACCCAAACAACCAATCAGCAATCGCTTAAATATACAGAAAAATATAATATGACACTGTATTATGATTTCTATGGTAGAGGAAAGTATTCAATGTGACCTCAATGATATGATTGTCCGTGATTCAAAACAAACAATACGTTTCGAACTGGTCCACACGCAAACTATTTAATAAGAATAGTGATATTAGAAACATGTAGCAAGGAGTTTGACCTCTGAGATTGAGCAACTGCTAACTCCCGTATATTTCAACTATCTGTACTGTTCCATGACGGCACGATCTCACGTGCGCGACTGGTGTGACTTAATACGAAATAACTGATATTCACTTATTGGATATATTTGATCATATGTAAACATATTTCACGTCTATACGATATTATAATGAATGAGAAGATACGTGCTAAATTTAAGCGTTTCAATGTTATAACTGTTTCTGCATTCCAGGCTGCACTATGTGCCTATGCTATCCTCATAATGGCCGTGTACTGGGTGACTGAGGTAATACCATTGGCGGTGACCGCCCTTCTACCCATGGTTCTATTTCCTACACTGGGTGTGCTGGACTCCAAGAGGACGTGTTCAAACTACCTGAAGGACACCAACATGTTGTTTGTTGGTGGTCTCATTGTAGCCACAGCTGTAGAGAAATGGAACCTACATCGCAGGATAGCGCTGCGAGTGTTGTTGTTGGTGGGATCGAAACCAGCTTGGTAAATACGCTATTTTGACACTTGGCAAATTTTGCTAATATGGTCAGTGTATCCAAATCAATCGAGAACTCATCTGTGATGGATTCCTTTCTTGGTGACATTCCTTCAAATAAGTTCAGACACACCAGTCTAATAACCTTGATTGACAAAAGTAACTTTCAAATCCTGTATGGAAAAAATCTAATTTTCTGTTGTGCCGCAATCCAATATGGCCGACTAGCTGTGCATTTAGTCGTAGCATCTAAGTATGAATGTATCACGCACGATGTGCGCTACTAACGGATGCACGCCAGAATGTTTTGCAAGTTGATTGGAGGTGACCGATTGGCGGCCATTTTAGTGTGCCAGATTGGTGTTCACATAAATCCGCCAGTTGGGTAATCGAATTCGGCTGCAGGCCGTCTCCCTCGCATTAAATAGATTGCATTGCGCAGCCTAGGGAATTTATGACACTCACGTGCACAGAGTTGTATTTACAGGTTGATGTTTGGATTCATGTCAACGACGGCATTTCTTTCGATGTGGATGAGTAATACCGCCACCACAGCCATGATGGTGCCCATAGCGCATGCCGTGATCGTCGAACTACTGGAAAAGAAACGACAGGTAAGTATCCAAAAAAGTATAACTTGTATCATGACAGAGAAAGTGGGGG